CTGTCAATGTGGCAGAAGCTACATTGGTGAAACAGGAAGACCACTGGCTGTTCGAATCCGTGAACACAAGCATAATCTTAAGCAGGGTCTTCTAGAGAAATCCAGGTTGGCTCAGCATGCATATGAAGAAGGTCACAGGATAAGCTGGGATGAAGCTAGGATCTTGGAGATTGAAAGCAACAGCAGATACAGGAAATACAAAGAATCAGCTCATATGGCATGTTCATCCAATCCGATCAGCCAACCCAGTTTGGATATTTCTCCCATATGGATCCCCCTCATCAATGAAGAGGTTAACAAACCAAAAAATGTAATTTTATGAATATTAGTGGTTCCACTACTACTGCAAGTTTTCTTCCGGGGATTAGTCTGATTCCCGGAAGTCGCCATGGTGGCACGATTCTTTATCCATGCAGATCAGGCATGCTCTATCCAGTTTTTACTTTCGTTTTTAACTGAATTCATGGAATATAACCCATACTTCTGTTTCTTTACATTGTTGACAAGTGCATGTTTGGCACAAATTTTCTATCATGTTTTTACTGCAATTTTATTCTTTCCTCCCACTGATGGAACCGGTTGTCGGTTGTTCATAGGTTGTTTCTACAGCTCAAGGTTTGTCCAGTGATTGAGACTAGCTCTTTCTAAGGGGCCCAACTGAGTAGGTTAAACCTTCCCTATCCACCTGAAGATGGAGACAGATCCAGTCTCCGAAACGTCGTGGTTTTTTGTCTTTTATATACTGGACAATGGGTGAAGTCCAAAATAAGCCAAAAGAAGTACAGTATACACCATTGTCAGAATCCTTTTGAGTCTATGTTCACAGATGTATATAATGTTGTACACATGCCTGCATGATTTTTCTTACTTATCCAGATAAGTGTGCCCCTACATATTTTTCAGTCCTCTACTCTGAAGTTCACAGGAACATACTAGATGGGAAAGGAAACAATCTCAAGACAGAAGCATAACTTCAATTTCAGTATAAACAACATTTTCATTCTTATTTGGTGATATCATGAAGGATAAATTATTGTGGTCTTCAAGAACATGATACCAGCAATCTAGAAAAAGGGAAGTGTTATGAAGGAACATGCTGCCTCCATCTTCAAGGTACAAGTAACTTTCCACAGGAGACTACAATATGGATCTGTCATTGTGGAAACCTCATATCTTAAACCCAAATTACAGTTTGTGAGTGTGCATATGCCTCTTAAGTTTAGATCTTTCAAAAAATGACTTCTTACACCAATTACAGGAGTATGGCCTCTCTCCAGTATGTGTTCTCTGGTGAATTACAAGATGCTGGCGTTCATAATAGGACTTACTGCACTTATCACATGAAAATCTCTTATTTCCAAGATGAAACAGCTTGTGCCGTATTACTTCTCTTTTAGTATAAAATGCTACACTGCAAATATCACATTCAAATGGCTTCAGACCTGTATGTAGCCTTTCATGTCTTTCTAAACCTGATTTGGTGAAAAATGACATTCTACACACATTGCAAGGGAATCTCTTTCCCTCCGTGTGGTGTCTCATGTGCGTTCGGAAATTGGACGAGGTTGCAAAGCCCCTGTTACAAACAGCACAAGTGTATGGCTTCTCACCTGTATGTGTCCTCTCATGACCAAGCAAGCCTTCCTTTGTAGCAAAAGCTTTTCCGCACATGTTACATAAATATGGTTTTACGCCTGAATGCAATCGTTTGTGTTCTTTCAAACGACCCATAAAAGCAAATGCTTTATTGCATATATTACAGAAATGTGATTTAACTGAACTGTGAGTGGCTTTGTGCTGTGTTAGTGCTCCCCGACGACAGAACGACTTTCCGCACTGGTCACAGAGGTATGTGGTGGTCTCATTATGTACCACTTCATGCTGTTTGAGGTAGTACTCCCTGGTAAAAGTTCTTGTACACACTTTACACAAGAATACCCGAGATCCCCCATCATTAATATTATCAGCAGACCCATGAAGTAAACTTGGAGATGTCTCCCTCATGTTACTTCTTGAATGAATTCTGAGGTGCTTGGCTAGGTCCCCAGTCCTGGAGAAGGTTCCACCACAATCATTACAGACATAGGGACGCTCACCACTGTGAACAACTTCATGTCTTTTAAGATACACTTGTTTTGTGAAAGTCTTTGAGCACACACTGCAAACAAACTTTCGGTGTTTATTTGATAATTCTTCTACACAATGCCCCTTTACATGTCCTTTAAGTTTACAGTGATTTTTTTTGTGTCGCGAGAGATCCCCAGTTCTAGTGAAACTACTGCCACAGCTGTTACAAGTGTTCAATACTCTCTGAGTGTGGGTAACTTCATGCCGCTTGAGAGAAATTTGTTTGGTAAAGGTTTTAAGGCACCTACTACAGTTGAATGATTCACGTTCAGCACATTCTAATGTTAATTCAGGAACTGCCCTCAGTGAGCTTAGCACACGCCCTGTTTCTTCTTTTGCTTCCAAAGCTTCAGGAATCTTCCTGTAACATTCACTAGATGTCTCTAATTCACTACCTAAAGACATGCTTCTTATTGCTGTGGCATTTTCAAGAACAACTTTATCGCTGCTATCATTAAAATGTTGTTTGTGAGGTGAAATTTCTTCACTGTTGGCTTCCAACCATTGTGCCTGTTGAAAAAATAAGTAAACAGACACAATTTTCAGTAATCAGAACCTCACTATACAGAGTTATTCAAAAAGAATGAACCGATTTCATGACGCATTGCTTCAGTTCTCAAGCATCGTCATGGAATGAGTCAGTGACCATTTGAAAGAGGAATTATCTAAGTTGTGAATGGCTGCCATGGGGCGCTGAAGTCGCGTCCTTCTTCTTCCGGCAACGTTCAGTTGTTCGTTTACCCTCGGAATGGCGAGTCCTCAGCAAAAGGCGTTCTGCGTTCTCGAGTTCACGAAAACAAATTCGGTTGTCATGGTGCAGCGTGCTTTTCGAAGGCGATTCGGCATTAATCCGCCCTGTCCTAAGAACATTCGACAGTGATTTCGACAGTTTCAAGAGAGTGGGTGTCTGTATAAAGGAAAAAGTCCAGGACGACCATGAGTCTCGGAGGAACAAGTGGCGTGAATCCATGCTGCGTTTGAGAGGAGCCCATGGAAGTCAACAAATCAAGCTAGCCGTGAGCTTGCGATCCCTCAATCCACTGTCTGGCGTGTGCTAACAGTACGTCTACATTTGAAACCATACAGACTGCAGCTCCTTCAGGCACTTACCAATGATGACAAAAGGAAGTGGATGGAATTTTGTGATTCGATGCTGGAGATGATGGAAGACGAATCCTTCATTTCACGTTTAATTTTTAGCGATGAAGCGACTTTTCACTTGAGCGGCACAGTCAATCGTCACAATGTGCGTATTCTGGGAACAGAGCACCCACATGAAACAGTTGAGCACGAAAGAGATTCCCCTAAGGTGAACGTCTTCTGTGCTGTGTCTCAGGACAAGGTTTATGGTCCCTTTTTCTTTGAAGGAAACACCATTACAGGACAAACCTATCTCGATATGCTCCAAAACTGGCTCTTCACTTCATTGCAAGCAGATTCGCATGACTTCATTTTTCAACAAGATGGAGCACCACCCCATTGGCACCTGATGGTCCAAGCTTTTTTAAATGAAGAAGTGCCCCAGCGATGGATTGGTCAGAAGGGGGCCCAAGACCTTGCTCTTTGTGCTTGGCCTGCGAGATCCCCAGACCTCACCATGTGTGATTTCTTCTTGTGGGGATATGTAAAAGATCACGATTATGTTCCACCACTACCCACTAACTTCGATGACCTTAAACATCGAATAACAACAGCGATTAACTCAGTGCACCATGATATGCTGATACGCGCCTGGGAGGAATTCTCTTATCATATTGATGTTGCCCGTGCTGCAGGTGGTGGCCACATTGAACACTTGTAAGACAAGAAATAAGAGTTGATTGTGAGTAGAATACTTGTGACTTGGCTGGAGTTTTGTATTACTTTCCTTTAATAAAATATTGCATAATAAAATCAGTTCATTCTTTTTTAATAACCTTGTAGTTTTGATAAAAATTTCATTGAAAACTCTATGAAAGCAGTAAGTATTTGTTAAATTAACATGATGTCTGTTGGTAAACAGATTAGCTGTGGGAGACTGAGGTTCTCAGAGCAGTGAATATTATGATTGTGGTCTTCTGCAATATGACACATAAAGTCTGGTAAATAGGTATAATAATAATAAATATTTTGCTGAAACCAGTTGCCTTTTATCCTGAAGATGAAATCAGCAGGTACCTCGGCACACCAAAAATGGCCATAATCTTAGCATAATAACATCAACACTTTGCAAGCAAACAAGGTATAACTGATCACCATAATGTAAAAATGTGTCTACTTATGGAATATTTCATGACACATCCAACATTTTAGCACCTGACTGTCAGGTCACGTAGAAAGATACATTTTCTATTCAATACTCTGTTGACATAGTTCAGCGGGGGCACGCAGTAGCGTAGTGCTTGAGGTGCTACGCTACAAGCCGGAAGGTCGCGGGTTCAAATCCCAATGAGGTCACTGGAAATGAGTACCAGGAATTAATTAAATAATTTTACTGGCGAGTAAAGCGCAGTCGGTGCGTAAGGCTGACAACCTTACCGCCATCTTTGAGCCGATTGTCTAGATAATGTGGGACCCTCAACATCTCACAACCCTATGGGCCTTCACGGCCTGTTACAGGGATAGCTTTACTTTACTTTACATAGTTCAGCATTCCTTGCAATGTCTCAGCTGATCTCACTCACTAATTGCTTCAAGGTTATCAGCAGCTTGTTGCATGATGTTCGTGTCTCCAAACAACACATCACACTCATAAAACCACAATGACCATAATAAAGCAACCAATTATTCAGAAGAGGTCCTCATTTTCATTCATAGATATAGATTATAGATTTTTAACAGTTTCAGTTTCAGACAAACATTTAAGTCAAATTCGACACATCTACCAAAATAATTTTTACATATTTTGAAATTAGATAAAACTTTATTAGACAGAAAGATAAGAGCCTGTGATGCTGTAGGGGCAAGAAGAGGCTTCCACATGACAAACGAGAGGAAGCTACACACCTAAAAAAACCAAGCAGTCACCATTCAAAAGGAAAGGTGATATACTGGTTCAAGTATGGAAGAATAAAGACCTGTATGAATAATAAGTATTATCCACAATGTAAAAATGCTGAACACAAAAAGAAAATACAGAAAAATCTACCTGCAAATAAAGAATCCTTGCTGTGTTGTCCAGCACAGTACATTTGTTAAGAGTACAGATATGACATTTCAATATCTGAGTTATTTGTCAAGTCTGAGGAAAACTTATATGTGGTCAAAGAAAGCAGTGTTGTATGGTGTACACTGTGCACTGTTGAACACAATTTTTGGGTACAGGACACTGAACAAAATATGAAAAACAATGCATACAAATTTTCTACACGAGTTAGTGAGGTCTTACATATTACAAAACAAACTGGTGAATCTGAGCTGACAGAGAAGTCTCAAGTATCCATGGGGAATAAACAGAACACATAGGCAAACTATCCATAGACTTCAGTAAACATAAACTCATAGAAGAATGGTACTGAAACAAGAAACACTTGCAAATCCTGTGTTACTCTACTTCAAATTGATTCTTGCTCTGAAACACTATGGGAACAATTACAAACAGTTTTCAGTGGTTAATTAAGAAGTGCCATCTAGGACTTCAAAAAGTAGTAAACTGTACTTAGGGGCTGAAGAATGAAACGCTTCTAAAAAGTTTCAAAACTGAGGGTATTTAAGTAAAAGAACTCATCTCAATGTACAGGAAAGCAAAGTGTAGACTGTGCTACAGTACTGCATTCCTTATCTATAGCTCAGTACTTACTGAAGAGTAACATAAATTACTGCCTCACCTTACTACTTTCCAACTTCTGTGTTTCTAAATGTTCTCGTAATATAGACTCAGAATTTCTACACAACTCTTTGAATTCATAGAATTTTTCGACAAGATCTGAACACCGTTCACATATCAATGTGGGCAAGCCATCACCTTCCGTCATCTGCAAAGACAGAATGATGCTGAAACAATTAATCTGGACTGGTGACTACTACATAAAAGAAACCAAGTTTGGTAATGAGAATTATATCAAAATGGTTGAGGACTGCGGCGGTGATGGATCGTCATATCAGTTAGTTTGGCACCTCTTAACGTTTTACACTGTCACGTCATATAATTCTAATGGTACTAACCTCAAAAGACAAACAAATTGAGATTTTCTGCTTTAATGATACTCTTACAGCGTCATTATCACTTAATATAGGCACAGTACCATCACCCAGAAGACAAAGGCGACATATACGTGATATATGAAACGGATCTTTTAGTTTTTCATTCATTATACTGGAAAATATCTACGCCTTCCTTTTAACACCCACCACCAGTTACACCAAAACAAGCACCTCATGATGTCACGGCGGTTATGTTGCCCGCCAATAGCATTGAGTTGCACCCCCATGTTAGAAATTGTAATGGTTTCTTTTGAATGTGTTTCGTGGAACTGAAGCTCCTCACAAATTTTAGCTCTCTTGTGGCTCGAGTGTTATTTCTGCGAGATAATTAACACAGAAAAAACAGAAAAAAATAAGTGAACACATCAGGTAAGAATTTAGGTAATTAGTACATTAATTTGTTAGTAAAATTGTCTAATACCCTGAGGCATCTCTTACCCTCTTCTGTCCTAGAAAATCTGTGGTGTTGACAACTACGTGTGGGATGTGACAGCTGATGCTTTGTAGACCATATTTTTAGCCGAGGATCCTATTTATTTGAGTGAAATTACTTTAGTATATGTAAAAGGATATATATCTTCATTAATTCGTCGTATTCATGATGCAGCCGAATAAGCCCGTGTGTTAATGAAGGGACTTAAAAACGTAAGTTTCAACTTTATTTTAGTCCATAACTGAAGTGAATACAATTGGACATGTCAGGAAATAATAGCGAATACATAACATGTCAAAGTCACATAAAATTTACACAGTGATTTATCACTATACTCATAGTATAACGACCTTTAAAAGGAACATAACAATATAAAATACATAAGACCAAACTTGGGCAGTAAAAGTAACTGCCGGTGAATATTGACTGATAAAATATTTTGGATTTCAGTAGTTTGCTTTTACAGTTAGAGCTCTAGTATTGGAATTTTTCTGTGTTTCATTAAGCACTTGTGTTTGTTTTGTAACCGTTCATCCTAATTGGTGGACTATTTTGTATTAATTAAACCTATATTAAGTTAATATCAAGTAAATACAAAGAGATCCGGCAGACAGCCAGCTCTTACACGCAGAAGGGACATAGTTCAAGTTTTGCTATATGGACAGGAAGTAACATCTGGTACTTTCCTGGAATTCTGGCAGTTTCAGCAAAGTCGGAAAGTCTTTGAGAATTTGAGAGCTGACAGCTTGGAACAGCTATAACTTAGAAGTGGGATGGCCGGAGCCTCATTCCATGGTCGTAATGCATCAAGTCGCTGTCAGCCTTAGCGTCAGGTCAGCAACTGCCAGAATCACATAGCAAAGCAACCTGATTGGAAATTCACAAATTTAAGGAAACTCCTAGTTTGAAAACTTAACCAATGGCAAAAGTGGAGGAGTGGACTTCTCTTGGAGTCTGTGGTTCGTGGACCTCAGGATTCAGAGAGAGTGCGTTCCACCTCGGGGAGTCTTCATCCAACTTTCAGCAAAGTCGGACACAAATTACAACTATGTCCCTTCCCCGTAAAAGTATTATAAGTAAATTCCTAAATAATTGTTACTAATAGATTCATTTGTATTCAGTGAGCTGGAGGGAATTAAATGATTACTAAGTGCAACGGTCTAAAGAGGTGTGTGTGACTGTAGTGAAAGATTCTTCCTGCCCTGCCTGAGCCAGACCTGTATAAGACCCCGGGATAAGAACTCATCTCTACCAATTACAGAACAGAACCCAGATACTCCCATCTTTCCCTACTTGCGAGACACTTAATGGTAGTACCGAAACTGAACTCTCACCTACCAGCACCAACAACCAAAATCTTCCCTTCCCACCTAATTTCTTGCCATCCACAAGAAGAAGGAGGAGGGCAGAAAATCCAGTGGAGGTGTCTAGAAAGAGGTGCAGGTGAATCGCAACACAAGGAAGGAGAGGACCTGGATAAGTGGAGACCAACGTAAAGGGCCCAACGTAGTGAGCGGTTAGAGTTTCACAGGTGGTGAAGAGGAATATCACATACATTCATGGATTTTGTTGCTGGGTGGCAACTGTCCCGAACCCTGGGTGAAGGTTCCTTTGGAAAGTAAGTACTGGATTCATTTCGTTTCATTTTTATTTGGCCTTCATAATTGCTACAACAGTAACACTCGGAACAAGTCACATCATTAAATACATCATTCTTGAAACCCTTTTGCCCAAATGCTTAAAGGCTTAAAATTTATCAACAATATGCATATAGTCACGCTTTACATGGTTAACATGTAATTGAAATATAACACTATCAAAGCAGATAAATAATCAAATTAGGTACAATATGTAAATTGAAATGCAAGCCAACCTTATTAGTTCATCAAGATAATTTTTAAGAGTATTACAATAAATGAAGAGTCCGACATATGACCATGCCAATCACTGAATACATTCAGATACTGCAAGCAACCATTTGTTGCAGTTGTTGCAGGCTTGAGCAGTTGGTAAAAGGGAATTTGTAAAAAAATGTAGTTGGCTTATGCAGTATGTGTGTGAGCAGATGGTTACCAAGTGAAACATTATGTTACCGTGCAGCATGTATGAAGACATGTTTTCAGGAAAATACATTGAAAGTCCCTATTTAGTGCAAAGTTACTTCACATGACATTTTTACTTGGCCGTCTTTCAGGCCTGTTGTTCGTGGGCATATCACTTGGATATTGTGAATATGGCTAATTTTTCCCCGTGTAGTAATAGAAAACATCCGATATAGTCATAAGCACACACCAGGGCATACTGGTGTCCCACTTAAGCCCATGTAACTAGGAAAGCATATGTTAAGACAGTGCATGGTGTATAACATTTAAATAAACTCACTGCACCAATCTTGGGAAATATACGTGTTTTCTCGTTACTGATCCCACTTCTGACACCAGTGTAACGTGTTTCGTTACTGAAGACGCCGTATAGATGGTTAATTGGGTTTATTTAACAATCTACAAATAACGGCTATAATTAATGATCACAATATTACGGGTTTCCACACTTTACAAACCCTACAACAAAATCTCTTAACACAATCTTCACTTGTCTTCACGTACTGCTAACGCGGGAGCTATACAAGTCTCCCTTAAATACACACTCCGGGTATAACTGTACTACAGCAATCACTATGTCTGGAAAGCACACAATAAGTCTTCCGCTCGCTGACTTCTTAGTTGTCGCACACTCGCAGGCTGCTATGTTTCAACTGANATTACTGAGGGAGGTGGGGTTCTATTTACAGTTAAGCCAGTGAGAAAATCTGCCATGGACTCAGGAAACTTTCACAGTTATAACTGACAGATTTGAAGAGGAATATTTCATGTGTCATGTTTATATTCAATGACCTGAATTTGAGCTCTCCGGCATACGTATTTGTACCATGACATTGCAATTCATTGTAGCTATACTTTGCTTTGAAAATTGAAGTCAGTTTTAATACACATACATACGTACATATATTTCACATTGCACAAGTGCAAAATACAATGGACATGAAACTGGTCACAAGCATAACAAACAAACAAACAGACAATACAAAGCTAAACAAATTCTGTAACTAATTATTTACTGTATGCTCCAAAAGTTCAATAATATTGTAACGTGTTGGGTTACTGAAGATGCCATAGAGATCGTTAATTGGTTTATTTAACAACCTACAAATCACGGCTACAATTAATTACAACAGTATTGCGGGGTTTCACACTTTATAACACTAATTGCAATAATCTGTTCACACTGTTGCGGGGTTTCACGATTTATAACCCTATTTGCAAATCAGTTCACTCTATCTTCAGTAGGCTACACGTATTCACAGTACGGGAGCTATACAAGTCTCTCTGTCTCACACACTCCCAATTACACAATTGCACACACATCCGGTTCTTCTTTCTGCGACGGCTGCTATACTCCAACTGTAGTCGGCTGACTGGAGAACTGTTGATAACACACTGGCTCGATTACTGCTGAACTCGGCGATGGCCACATTTCAACTAACTCACGCTTACTGCTCAGCCGGCTTATAACCGTTCGCTGTTACCTGTTGCCCGCGTCAACAGTGTCATTGCGTGTCACGTCACAGTAGGAATCGGTGCCACCTCGTCCTGTTGCGTCACCACGCGTTGCGCGTTACGTTACCGTGCGGAGGGGAGCGCTGACTCACCCGCCGCGTCACTGCTGATAGGGAGGGGTTCTCCATTGCGCAACATGTCACACTGCTCCCTCCTTAAGGCTGTTCGTCCCGAATAGCCTAACAGTGCATCCCTGTTAATTTTCTTTGGAGGCTGTTCTTGCATCATCTCCTGTTTCGGCTACTTCTCGCAGCGACTATCATCCAGCCGTTACAACAGCTCCCCTCTCAAGACCTGCTCGTCTCGAGCGGTTTCCTTTCAGCTCGCCAGAAGATCCAGTTGTGTCCCATTCATCCATCACTTTCATTCTATGGCACATTCACTCTCTCTGGGGAGGCCGGTTCTTCTACATTACCGGTCCCTCCTCTGCTTGAAGTCTCTTTTTCCATTTTGGAGGGGGTCATCCCCTCCACAATATCCAATCCTTGATCAAGTCTTTCGTCGGAAGTTTCTTACATCGACGTAACAGCTCTTGATGTGTTGTTTGCACTCGCTGACGTCGTTGTTCCTCCTGGACTTCCAGCCGCTTGCTGGCACGAGACCGTTGCGCCAAGTCCTTTCTCCGGTATCCGAAGGCTCCCTGGGGAGTTTCCTTCTTGAAGTCATTTCTCCAACGTCGTGCCACTGTCGCGCGACAGGATATCTTCCTGCAGGTGGTAGCCAACTTTATCCGGGATGCATGATCTCTTCGGGTCCAAGATTTCCTGAAGATGTTCCTCCGGCGCCATGCCACTGTTGCGCGGCGGGACACCTTCCTGCAGGTGACGGCCAATTTATCAATTTATTCTGGGGTCCACAATTTTTCTGTGCTGAATTCTTCATTTGTCGCTTGTTTCGGTCCCTACGCCTTTTCTTCTTCGGTTCTCTGACCGGCTTTACTTCGGTGTCTTCTACGGGTACCTCTCGTAGATCTACCGCATCAGGTGTCATGTCCACTGAGGCTGGCTTTTCATCTTCTGGACGTGCCTCCATTTCTTGGCAGGCCATCGTCTCTCCGACCGGTATCACTATGGGGACCTCTTCTTGTGCCGCCGCAGGTTTCGTGTCCACTGAGGCCGGCTTTCCTTCTTGTAGACGTGCCTCTATCTCTTGGCAGGCCGTCATCTCATTGTGGTTGGCATTCACCCTTCGGTCTCTCATGGCGGCCGTCCTTGCTTGGATAGCTTTCGTCTCCGCTTGGATAGCCCTTGTTTTTGAGGCCATGTCTTCTCGCCAGGCTTTCGAGTCGGCGTCCATTCTCGCCAATGCCTTCGCGTGGTTGTCGTCTAATTTAGCCAGGAATTCTTCTTTGTCTTTCTTCCTATTGGCCTCCTTCTCGTGAATGGTTCTGATTTCCTTCAGGAGAAGTTCCATCATCTGCTGCATCTCCATTTTGCAGCAGTAAAATACTCGATGCACAATAATTCAATTATTTATCGAGGCGTGTTTAACTTTTTAAACCACTTCTGACACCAAATTGCCCCGTGTCTTGAGTTCGAATCTTGTCGGTCACGTGTGTAAGTTCGTATCCCACTTCTGACACCAGATGTAACGTGTTGGGTTACTGAAGACACTGTAGAGATCGTTAATTGGTTTATTTAAGAACCTACAAATCACGGCTACACTTAATTACAACAATATTGCGGGGTTTCACACTTTATAACACTAATCGCAATAATCTATTCACACTGTTGCGGGGTTTCACGATTTATAACCCTATTCGCAAATCAGTTCACTCTATCTTCAGTAGGCTACACATATTCACAGTACGGGAGCTATACAAGTCTCTCTGTCTCACACACTCCCAATTACACAATTGCACACACGTCCGGTTCTTCTTTCCGCGGCGGCTGCTATACTCCAACTGTAGTCGGCTGACTGGAGAACTGTTGATAACACACTGGCTCGACTACTACTGAACTTGGCGATGGCCACATTTCAACTAACTCACGCTTACTGCTCAGCCGGCTTCTATTCCGTTCGTTGTTACCTGTTGCCCGCGTCAACAGTGTCGTTGCATGTCGCGTCACAGTAGGAATCGGTGCCACATCGTCCTGTTGCATCACCGTGCGTTGCGCGTTACGTTACCGTGCGGTGGGGGAGAGGGGAGCGCTGACTCACCCGCCGCGTCACTGCTGGTAGGGAGGGGTTCTCCGTTGCGCAACATGTCACAATATCTTCTTGTGGTTGTGTTGCAGTGTACATTAAAAATATTGATATTTTTATAGGTAAAGTTATCCCTGTAAGGACCTGTTTCCTTGACTTTCGCGCTGGGGGAAAACAGTTGAAGCGCATTATTTAGTGTTTATAAACATGTTATATGGAACTGATGTTGAATGGCTTTTATGCAGAAAGTGTGAGAAACACTATTTGCCCTGTGTATTTCATAACACTTAAAGTAGATAGACAGCGCCGATTGAATGGATAGGCGAGCAGTAATCTGGAAAGGATTAGGAAGGAAGCAGTAGTGGCCCAAATGAGGTACAATCCCAGAATTTGCCTGGAGGGGCAGAAAAAGAAAACAGAAACCATGGCAGGATATCTGATTCCCTGGTTAAGATTTGAGTTGACAACCTCAGACCACAGGTTATGAGCATTACAGCTATGTCAACCCATTTAGCTCCTGTATGGAAATATTTGAGAAAAAGTTTGTAGGTGATGTAGACGAGGTTGGAAATTTCTTTTCCCAGCACACTGCATTGCTTACTCTTATGGCAGATGTGATTAAATATCAGGC